GGGGGCGGGAGGGGGAGGTCGATTGCGGCCCCCCTTTCGGGAGGCCACCATCCTCGTGAGGGGTGTCGAAAACTGGCCTTCCCCTGGGGCGTTCTGGGGGGATCGCCCGGGAGTGGCCCGGGAGTGGACCAGGACCTAGCCGAGGATTTTTCGTCCAGGGCCCCCAGGGGCCGCACCGCGCGAACGAATTAGAAATATTGTGAACCAGTTAACGGAGATCTTAGCACGCCTCTGGCCCGATGGGCCAGCGAATTATTCCTATGGTGGGACCCCAAATGATAATAGTGTAGCCTGCCTGGAGATATTATCATGCCCTTCTCCTCTTGCCTGCTCCTCCAGCCTCATCCTTCTGTCGACTCCTCCTCCTGCCTCCTGCCCCTCCTACTCCTCCTGCTCGTCCTCCTCTTCTTTCTGCCTCCTCCTCCTCCTCCTATGGCTCCTTCTCCCTATGTTTCCTCCTGCATTATCCTCGGGCATCCTTCATCATGGGGTCTCCTGGGGCATCCTGATTCCCCGTAGAGCCTCTCGGAGCCGTCCGGGACCTCCCGGAGCAGTCCTCCTCGTCCTGCTTCCTCATGGTCATCCTTGTCCTCCTCGTCGGTCTGCCTCTTCCTTGGGCCGGTTCCTCGTCCTCCTCATCCTCCTCCTCCTCGTCCTCCTCCTGCGTCTCCTCCTCCTCCCCCCTCGCGTCCTCCTCCCCCTCGTCCGCCTCCTCCTCCTCCACCAACTCCTCGTCCTCCTCCTGCGTTTCTTCCTCGTCCTCCCTCGTCCGGGGGCCTCCTGCCTGTTCCTGCCTTCTCCTGTTGCCTCCTGTGGCCTCCTGGAGCCTTGTGGGGCCTCCTGGAGCCTTCTCGGGCCTCTGGTGTACTCCTCCTCCTCCTCCTCCTCCTCCTCCTCCTCCTGCCTCGTCCTCCTCCTCCTCCGCCTCCTGCGCCATCTCCTCCTCCTCCTCATCCTCCTCGTTCTGCCTTCTCTTTGGTCTGCTTTCTCATCCTCCTCCTCATCCTCCTCCTCCTTCTCGTGATCCCGGTCGAGACGTCCTCCAGATTAATGTGTCGGAGCCCAGAAGTAACGACAGTTACATGTTTGGGATGACCCGTTCGGATTAGCAACATGATCTGGCGGCCCCATAGGGAAGAGGTTTCCCGCTCAAGTCCACGCCGCAATTCAGAGACGAGGCTCCTGCCCGAGACGTCTTCCAGATTCATGCCTCAGGAGCCCAAGGGCAACGACAGCTACAGGTGCGGGATGACCCCGCTCCGAGTAGTATCATGATCTGGCGCCCCATATTGCGGGGGCTCCCGCTCGAATTTTCCTCACACTTCATTCAGCGACGAGTTTCCCGATCGATACTTCCTCCGACACCCCACAGTGACGACAGTTACAGGTTTTGGATGACCCGCTCGGATGAGCAAGATAATTTGGCGGCCCCATCAGGGCTCCCTCTCGACTTCCGCGCACAACTCACTCAGGGACGACGCTTCCGCTCGAGATTTCCTCCAGATTCGTGCCTTAGCAGCCCCGACGTGACGACAGTTGCAGGTTTGGGGTGGCCCGGTCGAATTGGTGACATGATCTGGTCGCCCCATAGGGAGGGAGCTCCCGTTCGAGACCCCCTCAAAATTCACTCAGACCCGAGGCTTCCGCTCGAGACTGTCTCCAGCCTGATGCCTCGGGAGTGCAAAAGTGACGACAAGTAAAGTTGTTGGATGACCCGGTCGGATGAGTAACATTATCTGGTGGCCCCATAGGCAGGGGGCTCCCGCTCGAGTCTTCCTCATGCTTCGCTCAGAGAAGATGTTCCCGCCCGAGAGGTCCTCAAGATGATTGTGTGAGCATGTGAGTGTGTTAGTGAGTGTGAGTGTGATGACGGCGACCGGTGTTCATGATGGGATGATAGTAATGATGGTAATGGCGTGATGGTGTTGATGAGTGTGACAGGGGGGTGGCAGGTGCTGAGAGGGGGTTTGAGGTGTGAGGATTGCGAGTGGCGTCCAGGAACCATTGACAGACGGTAGGACCCACATGAGAATATGTTTCTTATATGTGTACATATATATATATATATGTATATATATATATATGTATATATATACTGCTTGGAGATATCGTATTGCCCCCTCCTCCACCCCCCTTCTGCCTCTTCCTTCTTTTCTTGCCTGCCTCTTCTGCCTCATCCTCTTGCCTCCTCCTCCGCTTCCTGGCTCTTCCTTCTCTTCCTCCTCCTGGCTCCTCCTCCTCCACCCCTGTGCCTCCTCCTGCCTCCTCGTTTGGCATCCTGCTTCATCCTGGGGTCTCCTTTATTGCATCCAGGGACTCACTGGAGCTTTCTGGTGCCTCCCGGGGCACTCCTCCTCCTACTCCTACTCCTACTCCACCTCCTCCTCCGCCTCCTCGTCCTGCGTCTTACTCCTCCTCCTCCTCCTCCTCCTCCTCCTCCTCCTCCTCGTTCTGCCTTCTCTTTGGTCTACTGCCTCCTCATCATCCTCAGCATCCTCCTCTTCCCCCTCCTCCTCCTCCGCCTCCTTCTCCTCCTCCTCGTCCTGCCCCGCGTGCAGCCTCTCCAGGGGCCTTCGGCCTTCTCATGAGGGCGTCCTGTTGCCTCCTGGAGCTTCTGGGGGTCTCCTGGGGCATTATGTGGCCTCCTGGAGCCTTCTGGGGCCCCCTGGAGCCTTCTCGGGCCTCTGGTGTACTCCTCCGTCTCCTGGCTCATCATCCTCATCCATCGCCTCCTCCCGCTCGGGACGAAGCTCTCCCACAAGACCTCCTCCAGATTGATGCCTCCGGAGCCAAACAGTGACGACAGTTACAGGTTTAGACGTCCCGCTCGGAGTAGTAACATGATTTGGCGGCCCCCCATGGAGGGAGCTGCTCGAGAGTTTCTCACAATTCACTCAGAGAGGTTCCCGTTCAAAACGTCCTCCAGATTGGTGCTTCAGGAGCCCAACGGTGACGACAGTTACATGTTTCTGGCGACCCCTCTCGGATTAGTAACATGATCGGGCGGCACCATAAGGAAGGGGTTCCCGCTCGAGACGTCCCAACAATTCACTGAGAGACGAGGCTCCCGATCGAGACGTCCTCCATATTCATGCCATAGGGGCCCGAAAGTGACGACGATCACAAGTTTCTGGCGACCCCGCTCGGAGTAGTAACGAGCTTCTGGCGACCCCGCTGGGAGTAGTAACATGACTCGGCGGCTCATAGGCAAGGGGCTCCCGCATGAGACTTCCTCTCCAAATTCACTCAGGGACGAGGCTCCTGGTCGAGACGTCCTCCAGATTCATGCCGCAGGAGCCCAACAGTAACATCAGCTGTAGACAAGTTTTGGATGACCCGCTCGGATTTGTAACCCATCTGATGCTCCACAGGGAGGGGGCTCCCGCTCAAGACTTCTCGTCGCAACTCACACAGAGACGAGGCATCTGCCCTAGACGTTCTCCGGATGTATGCCATAGCAGCCCGAAAGTGACGACAGTTACAGATTGTTGGCGACCCCGCTCGGATTAGTAACATGACGTGGTAGCCCCACAGGGAAGTGGGGTCCCGCTCGAGACTGCCTCACAATACATTCGGAGACGAAGCTACCGCTCGAGACTTCCTCTGGATTCGTCCCTCGGGTGCCTACAAGTGACGGCGGTTGCAGGTTTTGGATGACCCGCTCGAATTAGTAGCATGACCTGGCGGCCCCATGGGAGGGGTCTCCCGCTCTGGACTTCCTCACAATTCGCCAGAGACGAGGCTCTCGCTCGAGAGATCCTCAACATGATTGTGTGAGTATGTGAGTGAGTGCGAGTGAGTGCAAGTGTGCGGATGGTGATCGATGGTGATGACGATGACGATGACGATGACGATGACGATGATGATGATGATGATGATGATGAACACGATGATGAACACGATGATGAACACGATGATGATGATGATGATGATGATGATGATGATGATGATGATGATGATGATGATGATGATGATGGTGATGGTGATGATGATGATGATGATGATGATGATGATGATGATGAGAATGATGATGATGATGATGATGATGATGATCATGTTGATGATGATGATGATGATGATGATGATGATGATGATGATGATGATGATGATGATGACGATGATGGGATGGTGACGGCGACGATGATGGTTTGATGGTGCTGACCAGCGTGGAAGACGGGTGGTGAGGAGAGGGGAGTGCGAATGTGAAAGGAGGAGAGGAGGAGTGGGTGAGGTTCTTTGCTGCGTGGGGGTGTCCAGAGAAAACAAGAGCCCCATGTAGGATGCGGGGAACAAGAACCCCACTCAGGATGTAGGGAGTTTTGGGGGGCCTCTGGAAATGCTCGTGGAGCTCTCTTTGGACATCTCGGTGCATCTTGGGCCGTCAAGGGGCCATCTTGGGCGTCTTGGTGCGATCTGTTTGCGACTCGGGGCCCTCTTGCACCGTCTTCGGGGTCTCTTGGGGCCCTCTTGTCTAGCTTTCGGGCCCTCTTGGCTCTGGACATGTCACGCGCCACCCTGCATCACGCCCTGGGAGAGCCGCGGCATGCCCCAGGAGATCTGTGAACTTGGGGTCGGGGCCCCGGGCCCCTCTAAGACTTCAAGGGGCCTAAGGGAACTTCATCTTGTGCCTCACGGCACGACAGGGGAACATCCTAATCACCGCTGCAAGTGTTTACACCGAATTTGCGCGGCGCTAAGATGAGCGCCCCATTCTGAAACCTCCCTGCGCTCCGTTCTTCAAGTTTCAGGGCCATGAGTGGCGAGGAAGTGCAAGGCGAAACGCAAGGTCCACCTTACTCATACGCCTGGGGGAGCAACAGAGAGAAGTTCTCTACAGGGGAGAGGGACGGGCAGGAGGAGGATGAGAAGGGAGGGGGAAGAGGAGCAGGAGGAGAATGGAAGTGGAGTCACGAGGAGGATGAGGAGGAAGCGGAGGAGGAAGACCAGAAGGAGCGAAACAATGTCGACACGAGGTGGGAGCGGGGGAGGAAGCTGGGGAGGCTCCACCTTGCGGACAACGCCATCTCCGACGCCGGGGCCGTCCGGCTTGTGAAGGCTCTGGGGGTCAACAGGACGCTGGCCGACCTGGACCTGGAGGCGAACAGGATCACGCCGCCCGTGGTGGTCGGGAGCAAGGGAACCCGCGCCACCTCCTCATCCGTTTCCTGCTCCTCTCCTTCCTTTTCTCACGGCCTCCTCCTCGTGCTACTCCGTTTTTGCACGTGTTCCTCCTCGTTTTGTTGCCACGTCCTCATCCTCCCTTCTGTTGTCACATTCTCCTCCTCCCCCCCTGTTCCTCCTTTCCTTGCTGCTTCTCCATTTCCTGTCATGTGATACTCATCTCTGTTTTGTTTTACGTCACCTCCTCTGCCACCGCCTCCTTCGCCTTTTCTTCCAGGTGTCCGTCACGTCGGCGATGCAGAGCTATCTGGAGCCGACCCTCTCCATCCCGACATCGCCAGTGCATTGCCGATGCAGTGCGATCCTCCGATCCCATCTGCTCCGACCCCAGTTGGGCGGCCTCCAAAATTTAGGCGGTGTTGGCCATTGTTGCCCCTACAGGAGGCTCCGCATACTCTCTGGAGGCCTCCAAAAGATGCCCATATCCATCCTTCAGCCCGCAACCGCACTGGCGCGAGATGCTCCTTGGCCGTCTTCCTGACGGGTCCAGTCCTCAGTGGTTAGTGGATACGACAGGGCCTTCTTGAACCGCTTCCACGAACATAATCTCGATAATGCAAGCGTGGCAATAGACGATTCCGACGGTACGACCCCGCATGATACTATGTTTTGCTTGTCTGAAGATATCCTTCTGCGCCCCTCCTCCTACCTCCTCCTGCCTCCTCCTTACCCTCTTGCCTGCTCTCCCTGCATTGCCTCCTGCCTCCTCCTCCTCCTGCCTCCTCCTCCTCCTCCTCCTCCACCTCCCCTCCTCCCAATGCCTCTTCCTGCCTCCTTGTTGTGCATCATGCCTCCTCCTGCGGTCTTCTGGGGTTTCCTGGAGCCTTCTGGGGCCTCCTGGGGAACTCCTCCTGCTCCCTCTCTCTCCTCCTTCTCCTCCTCGTTATGCCTCCTCCTTGGGCTGCTTACTCCTCCTGCCTCCTGCCTCCTGGTCCTCCTCCTGCTCCTCCTCCTCCTCCTCCCCTCCTTCTCCTTCTGCTCCTCGATCTGCCTCCTGCTGGGGCTGCTTCTGCTTCACCAGTCACTGCAATAGCACAGGACGCCGATTTTTGTTTAAAGCCTGGCGAAGGACCCAACCATGTGCAGCTGAGAATACCACAATTGTGAACATTGTCCTCGGTGGTGTTCCTGGGCGGGGGAGTCCCGTGCGGGCTGCGCGGCTGGGACCTTCGGTAGACCCCCTGATGGGGCCACGAAGCGCTGTGCTGGGTGAGGAGGACGCATGTGGGCACCGCCACTGCAGCCCAAGGTGGAACTCCCTGTGGGGCCACGGCCACGAAACGCTGTCGTGGGCGTGGGTGACGCATGCGGCCACCCCCACCTGGGGCCTTCGGTGGTGCTCCCTATGGGGCCACGAGGCGCTGTCCTGGGCGTGGGAGACGCATGCGGCCACCGCCACTGGGGCCTTCGGTGGAGCTCCCTATGGGGCCACGAAGCGCTGTCCTGGGCGTGGGGGACGCATGCGGTCACCCCCACTTGGGCCTTCGGTGGAGCTCCCTACGGGGCCACGAAGCGCTGTCCTGGGCGTGGGAGACCCATGCGGCTGATGGTGCTGTTGATGATGCTGATGCTGATGCTGATGCTGATGATGATGATGATGATGATGATGATGATGATGATGATGATGATGATGATGATGATGATGATGATGATGATGATGATGATGATGATGATGATGATGATGATGATGATGATGATGATGATGATTTGAGGGGGAGGGGACAGCGGGAGGAGGAGGAGGAGGAGGAGGAACGCGGGGCGCTGTCTCTTCAAAACGAACACCCAACACCGCATGATGACTGGGAACAACAACAAAAGAGCTTGACTAAAACGGTTCGAGAAGGCCGCGCCACCCTCTGGTGAAGAAGCGTGTGATGAATGTTCAGTTTCTTCCCTCGCCGTGGACGGCTTCTTGTGTCACGGCGCTCCCCCTTCTAGATTCTGCTGAAAGCATTGCTGGTTCGGGGGGGGTCCTGCTGCTTTGGCTCCTGACTCCTCGGCGTCGGCCGTGGATAAAACGGAGCTTGTCTCCGCCGCCTTTTTCGGGAGGAAGAGCGACGGTCGGTTATTCGGCAGGACTGCCAGTTCGGAGGGGAGTCTTGGTCCTATGGCTTGGCCCTCTGGAGAGAGGGTATTTTGAACGTTGCAGTTGAAATCTCCTTCCCTTCCTAATTGCGGAGCGCAGCTCCCGAACTTGGAGTTGCACGCCCCTGGCAGTGGCTCCCAGGGGTGCCCTTTCGCGGACCTCCGATCCGATCCGATCCGCTTCATTCCCCCATCCTCGCAGATCCGGGCGACGCCCAAAAGACTCGCGACGACAGTTTTGTCCCAATTTGTTTTCGGCCTCTGGAGGCCTCTTCTACGCTTCCAGGCCCCAGGGCCGTAAAGCAGTTACTCAGGATGAAGGGCTCTTGGGGAGCGGTCGAGGCCTCGGGGCCGGCGTCGCGACAAAACGGCCACATCGGACGAGAGGGCCATCCAGTTCTCCGGGGGCCGTCAAAACGCCACTCAGACTAAACATCCGGCTCTGGGGAGGGGAAGCCGTCGAGGCCCTGGGGGCCGAGGTCGCGAGTCACCGGCCACACCTGACGCGAGGGCCATCCAGTTCGCCCCTGCCTGGCAGGAGGGTGGCGGGGGAGGAGGCGGGCGTTGCGTACAGGGCGTCGCTGGCGTCGCGGGTGCATCGATGTATCGGCGATGCGGCGCGATCTTCTGGCACCAGACATGTCCGCGCGGTGCCAAAAATTCAGGACATCGCAGGTCTGAGGCCCCACACGGGCAGCCCCCGTGGGAGGCGTCCAAGGAGGAAGCCTCGCTTCGGTGCTCGGGCGGCCTGCTCGGCGCAGTGCACGGCGCAACCCCGGCGTACCTGTGTTTTTGCGCTGGGCGTAGTGGGGCAACGAGGCTGTAGCGCCAGCAACGGCCCACCAACACCAGAAGCCACTCGGAAGATGGTTGGTGGAGCCTTGGGTCCTGACAGTACCTGGCGCAGCAGGCAGCGATCCACCAAAGTCGCCCCCGAAACGAGGGGCCCCAACTTTGGTACTGGTGAGCCTCTGGCCATTGCCGAGGGTGCCAAGAAGAAAGGGCCGACCTGGTCGGAATGGCTAATTACCTGGGTTCTCCCACGCCTCCGCGAGCGGGCAGGGAGCGGAGAGCGAGGGGAGGCGGGAGACCGTAGGTCGCTCCGCTGGCCTTGCCCTCCCCCCTCCAGTCCTCCGCGACCGCTCCTCTTCCTCGTGCGCCCCTCTCTCGCTGCCGGACACTTCGTTTGTCGCGCGCCCACGACAGCTCGAGCGCCCGTGACGATCGCCTCTGGCCCTGCCGCAGCAAAAAAAGGTCGCTCCGCCGGTTCTGGCCCACCGTGAAAAGGATCCAGAGGGAATTGGGCGATTGTTTCGCTGGCGTATGGCATCAATGGACAGCCACGCATCCCCCGCCTACGGGCCGCCCCTGCGCTGATCCTACGCGCCAGCAGCCCGAGTCCTGCACACGCTTCCTCAACGAATGGCTCAGTCACAAGTGCAACGTCTTCAAGAAGGACACTCCGCTCCAGCTCGGGGTCAACTGGGAGACTGTCCGTGCTCGCATTTACGACAGAGGTAGAAACACGGGCACCCCCGGGAAAGCCAAAAGCAAAGGTCCGCGCGAAGACAGCGATGCCCGGTGGACCAGAACTGCGGACCCTAGGAGGGCAACGGGCTCGCGCCAGCCCTGGACGCCTTCCTAGGCCTGGCCAAGACCGCTCAGGTGCTTTCATACAACTGCATTCGTGAACGCCGCAACGGTACCCCTGGGTGCCCCCTGGGGCCCCACCCCTCCTGGCCATGGGGCTGGCCAGCCTTCCTGCGCGCCTCCGTGTGCGCGCTAATACCACTTCGGACGCGCCCAGCTGGGGCGGCTGGCCCGTCCCAGGCCCTAGAGTCCCTTTCCGGGACGCCTATTTGCGGCCTCTCTCCCCCTGGATGACTGCCGCCCCCCCCCCCCCGGCACGCTGTAGGCGGCCTGGCTATCGGCGCCCTTTCTTGTTGGCCCCAGCTACTGCTAGAGCCCCTGCGGCGGCCCCCCTTGCAGCCCCGCGATGCCCCGCACACCTGCAGCGCCCTTTGTGTTCCCTCCTGGGGGAGCCGGGCCTGCACACAACGGTCTCATCGGACTCTTCCCTTGCGGCTGTTACCCGCCCCCCTCTTTCAATGGGCTTACTTTGCCGAGTTCGCCTGGTACATTACCTCACATTTGATCATTCACGCACGGCTGTTAGCCGCCCCCCTTTCAGTGTGCAAGACTGTTTCGACGACGTGCTGTCGCTCCCCGCGGGGCGCCGATGGGAGATTACTGACTCGCGACTGTTAGCCGCCCGCCTCAGTGCAAAATCGTCTCGACGACGTGCTGGCGCTCTCCCCAGGACGTCGACGCGAACTGGCTCTGGGCATCCAGTTCGACGTCGAGCCCCGGCTGCTGCAGAGGCCCCACCCCACTTGTTGCACCCTTTCCCTGCGGCTTTTAGCTGCGACCCAACCGCTCGTCACAGGCACCCGCGGCTGTTAGCCGCCGCCCCCATACAGGTGGTCAGGCCCTCGGGCCTGCGGGTCCCGAAAGAACATCACACGTTTCCGCGGCTGTTGGCCGCCCCCCCTCGGCAGGACGTTACAGGCCCTCCGTGCTCCCCCCGGGGTGCGAGGGCCCACAGGTCCCGCTCTACGTCGGGCGTTTCGCGTTCTTCCTGGGCATGTTCTTCGTTGGCGCGTGCCTCGTTTGGTTCTTGGCCGGTGGTCCATGGTCGTGGCACTCCATGCCACATGATCCATGCCCCCCCCCCCCCTAGCGGGCTCACGACGCTCGACGATCGGCTTCTGGTGTACGCAGGGGGCAGGGCACAAACTGGCTCCTGGCGCTGGGCTTGTACCTTGTGAGCGACGTGCTCCTGGCGGTCCCGAGTTCGCTCTCGCGCCTCTGAACGGCTTTGCATGTTCTCTTGCTCCCCTCTTTCGTCGCTCGTCTCGTCGTCCCCTCGTCCTTCCCCGCGTCGCTTCTTTTCCGCGTGCGCCAGCTGAAGTCTAGGCTTCTGCCCTGTTCCACGCAGGTCTGGCTTTCGATCGACCCGCTGACGCCGCGCGGCCGTCCTCCGCTAGCGGTCGGTAAACAAAGAAAGGTTCTGGCCCACGACGCTTCGGCGCGGCGCGCCATCCAACTTCCGACCCCCAGGCTTCAGCGCCCCGAGCCTTTTCCGAGCCTCTCGCCCTCCAGAGCGGAGCGGCACGCTATCCGCTCGCAAATGCATGGCGCGTCGCCGGGGCCGCCGCCGTGCGCTGCCCAAAAGTTCGTCACCGTAGACCTCCGATGTTTTTTTTCGGCGCGGGGTCCAATTCCCGGGGGGGTAGGGGTCAGGGTTTAGGATTTAGGGTTTAGGGTCCGTTAGCCCGCACTTGAAGCCTGTTGGACGTGTCCCACCCACCCATGACCCAAGACATATTGATCTCATAACGACGACGACGACGATACCGATGACGAAGACGACGATATTGGTTTCAAAATGACGACGACGACGATAGTCGCGCAAAGTCTTTTGGGAAACCTCTGCAACGGCGATGCGGCACGCGCGCGCGACGAAGAACAACGTATATTTACGCGGTTCCCTGTGCGTCGCAGGGACGCCGCCCAGCGGCGGTGAGATTGCATGCAATGGCTGCGCAACGAGCGCGGGATAGCTCGTTGCCTCGAACAGACGGATCCCCAGTTCGCATCTTTAGCACCATCCCTGGCATTCCGAGGGCAATGATTTGCGTGAGGGGTGTGCCAACATGGGGGGCGGCGGAAGGGGCGCCGTAAGGGCGCCATGAGGCATTTCAGGGTTGAAATCTTTACAAGCTCTTAGTTCTAAGTGTTTTGTGTGTCTTCTGTCCCGGTTCGTTTTTTTTCTTTTCCACGTGTCTCAGAGGCCGGAAGCGGCGCCCATGGGGACCGAAACATTGCGGATCAGATGCCTGTCGGGTTTTCTGCTCGAGACGTTGGAAACCTTGGTGGGGGAGGGGGGGGGGGGTGGTGGTGGTCACTGCATAAGGGAATCAAGTCCAGAACAAAGCAACACGCACCACGACCACGACGACGCCGACGACGATGACGACGACGACGACGGAGACGAGGCGCGCAGACGATCCGCACCGAAGCACGGTCTTGGGAAATGGCCCACCCTGCAGCTTCGGTTAAACAACACACCGTTGAGTGGTGTTGCAGCCTCCCCTGAACACAGCCCCCACCCCCGAGCATCAGCCAGACAAGTCGGGTTGGCACCGTCATGCCTCGCTGGACTCTGGGCGCGTTTCGGCACCCTCGCCCCCAACCTCGTCACAGTCACCGACAAGGGAGAGGGCGGCGGTGGCCGACGCGTCCCTGAGCTAAGAAGCTCAAAGCGCCGCGGTTCAGAGAGCCGGGAATACAGACTGACAGACAGACGGACGGACGGACGAACGGGCAGCCTGGCGGCGTGAAGTGCCTGGCAATCCAAGTAGGTGGTCATTGCATACGGGAAACTCGTCCCGACGACGACGACGACGACGACGACGACGACGACGACGACGACGGAGACGAGGCGCGCAGACGTCGTCGTTGTCGTCGGCGTCGTCGTGGTCGTGGTCGTGGTGCGTTTTGCTTTGCTCGGGACGTGTAGCAGTTATGCAGTGACCACCCACTTGGATTGCCAGGCATTTCACGCCGCCTGGCTGCCCGTTCGTCCGTCCGTTCGTTTGTGTGTCTGTCTTCCCGGCTCTCTGAGCCGCGGCTAGTTCAGGGACGCGTGGGCCACCGCCGCCCTCTCCCTTGTCGGTGGCTCTGACGAGTTGGGGGAGAGGGTGCCGAAACGCGCCCAGAGTCCAGCAAGGCATGAGGGAGAGGGGGGGAGGAAGGGGCGGAAATCGGGGGCGCCGAAGAGGGGGGCGAGGAAATGGGACGGAGTGGATCTTGTGGCCAGGGCCTGGACATCCCCCATTGTCATATATCACCCCCCGCTTCTGTCAACGCGCCCGCTGGCCCCCTGAGCGAGCGCCTCGGGCCACGTTGCGCTCCCCCCCCCCTCCTCCTGGACCCCCTATCCGGCCCAACCCCGAAGACCGCACGAAAAAGTCCAGCTCGATCTGTTCGAGGCCCCGGGTGTCCGGGGAGAGGGTGAAGGGTCCGAGAGATCTGTTGCCTTGATTTCTTCGGGATGGCGGGGCGATAAATGAGAGGGGTCCAGGGTTGCAGGAATCGGGCCCTACTAAAACGGGCCCCGAATGTTCCCGAAGGGCGCGTCCTTCTGCACCTCCCCGTTTATTGCCCCAGCCATTCGGCCGGATTGTTTGCACACGGGGTTTTCGGACACCCCGACCATGCCTCCACGGCTTGCATGCATTCAGTACCGAGTGGTCTGTTGACAGTGGCCAGGGCGAGGGCCCCAGGAAGCCGAAAACGGTGGAAACCTTCCGTCTGGATTGTGTCCCAGGACACCATGTGTTCGGGGAGAGGAGGACAAGAGGAATCGAATACGAACATCACCATGAGCCAAATTTGTTGAGGGTCCGCGCGGGTTTTTTGTGTCGGCGCTGGGCCCCCTTGGCGTCGACTCCGTCACCGCCCCTGGCTCTGCCCGCCGGGGAGGGGTCGATCCAAGAGATCTGCGCAGAACTCCCACAGTTCGGCGGCGAGCGGGGGGGGGAAGTGAGAAGGAGCAGGCCTTCTCAGAAGGCGGCGGCACTTCGCAGAAGCCCTCGCGCCTCCTGAGAAGGTTTCTGTGTCTTCGGCGAAGGCTTAGAACATTTCTCAGAACACCCGGGGACTTCCGAGCCTTCTCAGACGCCCCGCCCCTTCGCACTTCCCCCCGTCGCTCGCCGCCTAACAGCCTCTGCTCACAGAGCAAGTTCCACTACTCGCAAAGTGCCTACTCGCAAACGCCCGAAAACACACATGTCTGATTCGACGTAATTTCTCGTAGATCCCCCCCAGCGGATCCAGGCCATTTGCGAGTAGTCACTTTGCGAGTAGCGGAACGCGCTCGTCTTTCTGCTGTCTCTTATTGCAAGGGAGGGGGGGGGGGCAAGCGACGGCCGGCGGCCCGCTGGCGCGCCCAGGTGGAACACCTCTCGGAGGCGGCCCGCGGGCTCGGGAAGAGCGTGAGGCGCGGGGACGCGAGCACAAAAGTCAGTCACGGGGGGGGAAGAGGGGGAGGGGGAGTTGCACAGTAGCGTTAGTATGTTTCCTCCTCCGTTTCCTCCTCCTCATCCTACTCAACTTGCCCCGCTTGCTCCTCCGCCTCCTCCTCCTCCTCCGTCTCCTCTTCCTCCTCCCCATGCTGCTCCTCTCATCCTGCCTCTGTTCTTTCTTCCCCTCCTCCTCCCCCCTGTCCTTGGCCGAGTGCCTCGTCTTCCTCGTGGTACTCCAGCCCTTCTCTTCCTCCTACCCGGATGCTGTGCTGGATTTTGCCTTTGGTGGACTCATCGATGACCTCATCCGCGTGATTGTGGTGACCCGGGGGGCGGCGACCCATGCAGCCAGTTTGGATCACATTGACAACGCGATCCTCAATCAGCATCTCCAGGAAGGGGGGGCACGCACAACATGTAAGGAGAGCAGGAGGCCCTGGTGGCTTGGCAACTTGCCGCGATACGAAGAGCAGAAAGACACGTGTCGGGGCGTGCAATGGCAGACTTGCTACATGTAGGGGGGTACATGAATGTCAATTGGAGCATCAGATGCGAGGGAAACGCCAGGATCTGGGCGGGCCGCGTTGGATGGGCGAACCTTCAGAAATATGGGTTTGCTCCTACTTGTTTGGCGAATGTGGTAGGACGTGCATGGTCGGTGCTGGAGGCCTACGTGGTACGAGCAAAGCGAGGTCGAGATTTGGACACGACCCTGGCCAAGAAACTTCGGGGGATGCCAGTGGGGCGCGCTCATCAGGAGGGGGACGACGGCACCCACCGCTAGTGGACGAATATGCAGGTACACAGGTCTTCGCTGAGCAGGATACCCCCCTGCGAGAGTGAAACTCTTGGTAAGGTTGGTAAGGAGGTTGGGGAGATGGCGAACCGTTGCAAAAGGATCCCGGGCACCACCGTCACAACCTGATCGCGTTCTCTGGAGAATGTACTAGGGAGGAAAGCCAGGCTGCCCCCGTGCAGACGCTGCTCGAGAACGGGGAATTGAACCCCGACGAATGCGTACACCCTTGGGTGAGGCAATTCTATTGTGATTTACATGCGATCGTGTCCCTCCCACCCAGTGAGAGAGGAATTGAGGGAGCAATTGTAACCACCGACCTTAGCAGCCTTCTGCGGCGACCCCGATGTGACGGATGCGTTTCAATATTGCGACCTCTGGGCCTTGCGTTTGACGGTATGGGGACAGGAGTGTGCCCCTCCAGGGCATTTCCGTGAGCAGTTTCAAGACGACCCCCCTTGGGAGAGACCGACAGTGAAGAGGAGATGTTTCACCCGTTGGTGTGTGGGCTGGGGTGGTGCAGGGTTAGGTTTGCGACGCTGCGGGAGCTGACGGAACACCACATCGCGACGGCATTGCCAGGGCAAAGTGCATCACCTATCCTATTACAAATTTGCGTGGATAGCATATGCATTTCCTGTGGCCCTATGTTTTTGGTTGCGTCGGCAACACCAGTCGACATTTGAGCAGAGCGTGGCTTTCAAACAGGTGTTCTGAAATGACCTGGTACACGTGCACATGGGTATCATTTGTCAGTACGCAATACACAATGCCCCCTGATGGAGTGGTCTGATCAAGCCGCATGCCAGTTGCATTACGACAACCCCGACGCCCTCAGAGCGCATCTGGCGACCCACATACCCCCCACTCCGTCGGGCTCCCAGCTCAGGGCGCCACCGTCCGGGACCGCCGCTTACTGGGGCTCGTCCGCGGCTCGGCCGCGATCAGTCTTGACGTGGTCCGATGTACCAGCCAGCACATCGACCCGTTCCATTACCAGGCCGTGCGCGGCGAGCACACCGTTGTTGAGACCGACTTCTGTTGACCATGACGTCAGCGGCATCAGCAACCCCGCAGGCTGCCCGCGCGAGCTGGCGCATCCCCCAGGCATTCTCCCCGGCGTCTGGGAACTTTGGCAAAGATAAGATGAGAGGGGAGGACGACGAGCAGAAGGGGGCGAAGAAAGCGTTGAAGCAGGACCACGACGTCGACATGACCACCCAGGGGGGCGCGGACCCTCAAGGAGGAGGACGGCAAGGACAAGAACAAGGAGCGGGCAAAGGCAAATGCAAGCCACGCCGCGGCGAGCGCCGCCACAGGAAGGGCAGCCACTCCGAGCAACATTGGACGTCCAAGGACGCGAACTTGAAGTCCTGCCTCAAGACTCATCATGCCCACGTTCCATAACACGCAGAAGCTGAGGTTGGTCAAGAGCACCCTGCTAGACACGTTCACCATGCCGATGGAGCACCCCGTGTTGCAGGAGCTGCAGAAGGTGACCGACAAAGGCAAAACTGCCGTGGCCACGGCAAGGTGCGAGGACGCGGAGGCGCTCTGGCTCTTGGGAAGGCCCGCGGCGAACCTCGCAGTCACGCACCTCGAGGCTCTGACGACATGCGACATCAGGGGCGCCCTGAAGCAGGACATACAGGGCTACTTCGCGAATGTGCAGCCCCCGCTCGGCGACGCCACGGTGACCAAGACAGACCTCGAGCTGGACATCCAAGCCGTGAAGGTGGAGCCGTGCTTCCACGCTACTACGAGGAAGTTCACGATGGCCGCCCCCCGTTGACCCATGCGCGGGGCCGTGACGAGGGCGTCGATGGCCGAGGGAGTGGCGACCGTGTGGCAGGCCCTTCTAGCCTGGCTCGAGCGAGGCGGCGTCTTGGTTGGAGTGTTGCCGCGATGGCCCAGTAGTCTTCGTGCGAGGCCAGTCGACGGCTACGATTTGGCAGAATGCAGGGGCGTGTATGTCTTCATCCCAGCTCTGGACTGATCCCGATGGGCGCACTGGATTCATAGACTAGGGTAGACTAGACGAGACGTGGACGCAGTGCGTGTAAGATCCACTTCGTAGCCGACTGCTTCTTCATTCCGCCACTTGCGTTGCCAAGCCAGCACCAATGAGCCAGTGAGCGATAGAAGTTTGCGTTACGACGATGTGTTGGATGTTGCCACGGTTCCGAGGCATTGTGTTTCACGGCTGTTGAGTTTCCAGCAATGTTCTTTAAGCGTTGCGTTTCAGCTCATCTCGTTGTTGGCTGTGCGGCTTCGGGATGCTGGGTCTCACGTTTCAGGCGTTTTCTCTCCGCCCGCAATCCCACGCTTGTTGAGCCAGCACCTCGCGTGTATAGCCGAATGCAGGTGGATGGGCGCATAGCGCGCCAGCGACAGACTTAGTGCCTCCGCTCTTCTTCCTCGTGCGACCTCTATCTTCCTCGTCCTTGTCCTCTCTCCTACGCCGCCCTCCTTCCTCGTCCCTGGGAAATGCCCCCATCCCTGGACGCTCCCCCCCCCCCCGTTCCTTCTTCCTACTCGCCGTAGCCCCTCGCTTCTCTTGCTCTTCCCTCCTACATTGCCCCTCCTCCTGCATCCTCCTCCTTCCTTTTTCCGTTATCCCTTCTCCCTGGCGGCCGTTTTTATCCTTCCCTTTGCGTCCTCTTCCTTCCTCTTGTCCTCCCTCCTCCGCCGTTTTCCCTCATCCCTCCTTCTTTGCATGTGCCCCCCTCTTTGACGCACCCTCCGCTTCCGCTCCTTTTCCTAAGCTCCGTAACCCCTTTTCCCTGTTTCCCTATCCTCCCTGCTCCCTCCTCCTGCGTCTTCCTCCTGCTCCTCAGTCCTCCATCCTCCTCCCTGGGGCCGTCCTTCTCCCCGCATCGAGGTGGCCACGGAGTCCTGAATGGACAGGGGTCAGGTTCAAAACGAACGCCTCGCTCCAGACATCCCCGAACATCTGGCCGCCAACGGGCGAGCGTCATACCCGTATGGCGGTCCCCCTTGGGGTGCTGCAGCCATCGCCTCGCTCGAGACGTTTTCACCATCTGCCTTGAGTACACAGCAAGCAGTCGATGGTACAGAAGAGACTAAGCGCTTGGGACATCCCCACAATCTGGCTGCGCGCGGGAGGGTGTCCCCAAGACTGCCATATCGTTGTGGGCAGTGGACAGCAAACAGACATGCGTCCGAGGCGCCGGAAGACGCGAACCACCTGACATGTCCCCACAATCAGTGCGCGAATCATGGAGTAGTGTCCAAATGCCCAACTCCCAGGCCTGCTTTAGCATTGTGATCATTAGACAACCGAAGAGATATGAGTTCGAGGCGCCGAGACAAGCAAACCGCCTGCGACAGACCCACAATATGAGCGCGAGTCATGGAGTGTCCCCGCCTCTGGCGGATCCCCATTGGGGTGCCCACGTGCCACACCTGCTATATCGCGGTGGGCACTGGACCGCCAAAAGAGAGAGCGAGGCGCCGACATAGGCAAACAGTTTAAGACATCCCCACCATCTGCGCGCGACTCGTGGCATGTCCCTACCCCAGTCGGCCAGTTTTGGGGGACCCATTGTCACGCTAGCTATATCGCGGTGAGCATTGGACCTTCAAAAGAGATGAGTGCGAGGCGCCGAAACAAGCAAACCGCCTGAGGCATCCCCAGAATCCGAGCGCGAATCATGGAGTGCCTCCACCCCTGGCGGCTCCACCTTGGGATGCCCAAGTGCCACCCCTGCTCGATCGCGGTGAGCATTGGGCCGCCAACAGAGAAAGCCATGTTCAATGCGAATGAGTCCGGGTGTGGATGAGCATGCGTGTGAGCGAGTGTCAGGGAGAGTGGGTCTGAGTGTGAGTGACTTTGGTTATGAGTGAGCCGGAGTGTGAGTGAATTTGGATAGGAGTGGGTGTGAACATGAGTGTGACTAAGTCTGAGTGTGGATGAGAATGCGTGTGAGTGAATCTCAGTACGAGTGCAAACTCGTGTGAGTATGAGTGGTCTGAGTGCCAGTGACTCTGTGTATGATTGGGTCTGAGTGCGAGTGCGTCGTAGTGTGAGTGAGTCTGGGCATGAGTGGATCTGAGTGGGAGTAGGTATCAGAGGCGGGTGAGTGCGAGGCGGCTTATAGATCACCCAAGGAAGGGCTACCCTAGGGCTACCCCTAGGGCCTACCCCTAGGGCTACCCTAGGGCCTACCCCTAGGGCTACCCTAGGGCTACCCTAGGGCCTACCCCTAGGGCTACCCTGGGGCTACCCCTAGGGCCTACCCCTAGGGCTACCCTAGGGCTACCCCTAGGGCCTACCCCTAGGGCTACCCTAGGGCTACCCTAGGGCCTACCCCTAGGGCTACCCTAGGGCTACCTCTGGGGCCTACCCCTAGGGGTACCCTAGGGCTACCCTAGGGTGTCCAGTAGGGCCTATCCTTGGGAAGCCTAGGGCCTTCAGTCTGTGTAATCCGCCACACAAGCAAGCAATGCCTTTAATGTCCCGCCCGCCCGCCCGACAAAAGGAATCAGCTTGTAATCCGCCATAATAGTAATCAACTTGCAATCCGCTGCCAAATGGAATCACTTTGTAATCCGCCACGAAAGCAATCAATGCATTTAATGTCCCGCCCGCCCGCCCGACCAAAGGAATAAGTTTGCAATCCGCTGCCAAAGGGAATCCATTGTAATTCACCACACAAGCAATTATTGCCTTCAATGTCCCGCCCGCCCGCCAGGCAAAAGGCGCCCGACCAAAGGAATAAGTTTAAAATCCGCTGCCAAAGGGAATCCATTCGCAATTCACCAAACAAGCAATCATTGCCTTTAATGTCCCGCCCGCCCGCCAGACAAAAGGAATCAATGTGTAATCTGCCACGATAAGAATCAGTTTGCCATCCGCCACACAAGCAATCAATGCCTTTAATGTCCCGCCCGCCCGCCCGACAAAAGGAATCAGCTTGTAATCCGCCACAAATGGAATCTACTCGTAACCCGCTGCCACATGGAATCACTTTGTAATCCGCCACCAAAGCAACCAATGCTTTTAATGTCCCGCCCGCCCGCCCGACCAAAGGAATCAGTTTGTAATCCGCAATAAAAGAAAATCCATTCGTAATTCGCCACACAAGCAATCCTTGCCTTTAATGTCCCGCCCGCCCGCCCGCAATAAAGGGTTACCCCTAGGGCCTACCCCTAGGGCTACCCTGGGGCTACCCCTGGGGCCCACCCCTAGGGCTACCCTAGGGCTACCCCTTGGGAAGCCTAGGGCCTTGGGTAGGGCCTACCCTTGGGAAGCCTAGGGCCTTGGGTAGGGCCTACCCTTGGGAAGCCTAGGGCCTTGGGTAGGGCCTACCCTTGGGAAGCCTAGGGCCTTGGGTAGGGCCTACCCTTGGGAAGCCTAGGGCCTTGGGTAGGGCCTACCCTTGGGAAGCCTAGGGCCTTGGGTAGGGCCTACCCTTGGGAAGCCTAGGGCCTTGGGTAGGGCCTAGGGTAGCCAAGGCCCCCGGTGATCTATACCCGAGGCGGAGGCGCCCCAGTGATAACCAGAACCCCATCGTGAGACATGCGGGTAACATGCCATTGCTTCATGGCGTGAGGAGATATAGATAGGTCCCCCTTCCCCCCCCCCGAGGCTGGCGCGCCAGAAGGGCAGGGAGCCGACCGAGGCCGAGTGCCGAGCGGCGGCGGCCAGGGCCTGGTTCGATGGGGGGGGCGCCTGGAAGGATCGGTGGCGATCGCGACCACTGCGCTTCGAGGATCGAGGCCAAGGTTTATCGACGTGTTCGGCTCGGGGTGCTTTCTGACAGCTGCGCCCTGCCGAGAGCGTTCTGGGGGAGGGCCGAATGGTCCCGAACGGCCGCCAGAGCCCTAGGTTGTGACCCGAAACCGTTTCCGCCGAAACCAATGACCCCCATCGCGTCGTGAAAAAACACGAAAATCAGTTTCACACGTTTCAACCTCTGAGCGTTTTCACCAGGCCCGGGGACCGTCAACTTTGATTTAGAATGAGAGACGCAGCAGGGACCTAGACGCCTGGGATTCCAGCTTGCAAGAAAACAAGAAAACACGACGGCAGGGTCTCCAAAGTAGCTCAGGAAAGGGTTTCTCCTCTTCCCCCTCCTCCTCCTCCTCCTCCTCCTCCTCCACCTCCTTCTCCTCATCCTCCTCGCCCTCGTTTTGGAAGCTTCTGATTTTCGGGGGGGGCGCGCCTCGTCACCACGGTTGGGCGCAGCTCGAAACCTCGAGAGGGGTCCAGGGATCGGGCTGGTAAGGGGCGAGGCGACGGGGGGGCTTTTCTGAGAGGGCATAATTCCTTAAAAGCCACCCTGCGTTCGATCAGAAGCCATCACCCGTGCTTCTGAGTCGTTATGAGGATCCCCGCGTCTTCTTGGCAAGCCGCCTCTGGCACCCCGCTCCCGATCAGAGTCCGCTCGAAACCGGTTCCTGGACCCATCCAGGGGGTCCATCCCGGCCACGACGTCGGATGTTACCAGAGGTGCCATTGGCCCTAGGTGTCCCCACTTCTTGGCGCATTTTTGGAGCCTTTTTGGGACCTCTGGGCCTCGTGAGCGGTGCTCTGGGAGGCCACTTCGGCCTCCCAAGCAATCCTGGGGACACCCTGCGCCAATGACGCCCTTGGCAACTCCAGACGAGAAGCCCCCAGGAGACCCACAGTGGACGAAAGAACAATACAAACAAACAAACAAACAAAGAAACAAACAAAGAGTCCATCGCAGTACAAACATACAACAAAGAAACAAACAAACAAACAAATAAACAAACAACCAACACACTTGCAATTACTAAGATCAT